CAGAAGCAACAGCGGGTTTATTATAGAATTTCGATATACACAACCAAGAGGGGTATTTCAAATTATAGATGGTCAATTCGATACGTTCTAAGACATCAGCCTAACAGCAAGAACAGCTTCGAGGCTTCAAACCTTTACGCAGATGGAAGAAAAATGACAATTTTAACAAAATCAACTTCTAATGCGGAAGACAGACGGAGACTAATTGTAGTATAATTGAGCTTCAATAAACTCTTGCCACAAAAAGGAAAGTCAAATGCTTCTAATGTTGGATTCATCACGAAAGAACACGTACCTAAGTCTATTTATTAACTCCACGAGCGATTAGTTTGAACTACAATCAACATGATTGAGAGTTAGCAAGACAAAAAAATTTATGATAAGCTTCGCAGTTCTCTAGAAGTTTTATACTCACGAGAAGTTTCAGCTCGAGTCGAAGTTCCATCTTCAGATTTCAGTCCTGCAAGCCTTGCTCTAATGTAATAATCTGAACGACTGGCAGGATTCACCGCTGATATTCCAACAACTACGAATGATTGCAGGATAAGTTGAAAAAAATTAGATTATACATAAAAGAGAAGACTCTTCTTTGAAAGACCATTTGTACCAACCCGGGCCTATACTTTCAAAAAAAGTTAAGAGATCGTAAGTTCATCAGCCAATCATTGACGGCCTTTCAAGCAAAATCCACCAATCATAGACAAGAGAATAGAGCGTAAGTACTTACGTTCACTTAGCGAATTTTGAAAGTATGGCCCCCGCGATCGGTTACATTTTGAGCCTACGTCGTCGTGACCAAACGATGACGTTGGATTACACTAAGAGGTTTAAACTTACAACTTCCCAGACAGACCGCAAGTCTCTAAAATCTGACTCTATGTAAAGCGTTGCAAAATAATTGAGTAACTCGATAGAAAACGAGTAATTTTGTCATATTACTAATTATAAAACATTTAACGATACCGAGTTACTGTTGAACTATGATGTGATACCTAAATTATATCTTCTAATTTTAAGATATGAATTTCTACGATGATTCTCATCTTCACGCTGTAACATAGTAACACCGGAACGTTTTGCACAAATATAAACCTTACGATCATAAGGAATGTTCACTATTTTTTGCTCACTTTAAAGAGCTCACTTTTTTTTCAGTCTTAAAATGCCTAGCAAATTACGGACCAGGCAATAAGTCCAGCAGCCATCTCAATCAATAGTCAGTTATAGAAAGATCGGGTTCCAAAAGCCGGATCCCTTGTGAATCAAGTCACGAAAAATTCAAGAATCGGCAACAGGCCATGGGCCTATTTCTTCGACGCCGACACTTCTATTCTATTCTAATCACAGCGCCACCCCAGACGGGTGGTTTTGTGCTCCATGGCCAGTTGCTGTTCAGCTTTCGTGTGGTGATGTGTGTGGCGATAAAATCGTCCTGAACTGCAGTCCATGTGTGATGATTACTTTGATGTGAGAGAACAATGTAAAAAAAGTTTTTAAACAGTAATTTGAAACACTTCATCGCTTGACGAAGAATTGACGAGTAAATGCTGCGTCCGCATCTATAATTGCAAGAAGCATGATTCGATGTTTTTCGACCAACTCAACCAGAGGCAACGCGACGACTATTTATTCAGATTTCACTGGGTGCCTTTACAGTTTACGCTGAGTTGAAGTCGTTAACTTCTCATTTTTGTGCATCAAGAAAATAATGTACATTAAAGTATAGTGCAATTCACAGAAAAATGTATTATTAATATTTTTAAAATTTATCAATATTTTCGTGCATGTGTTTATTTTATGTGTGTTAACTCAATATATATGTGAGCTATAATAGGCAGACGTGTTTAGTCTGTTTAGACATACAGCCTGATTATAAATTGTGACTTGCAACATGTTTATCGAATAATAAAAGAATGCTCGACTTTTGTTTCTATTAGTATTTTTCCCTTTGCCAGATATGGTTAATTTGTATTCACTTTTTAACACTTTTCTGTACAACATATGAATGGGTTTTAACTTGCGCGTGTTCCAGATATTCAGACAATTCATTCGAATGAATAATTACTTAGTTGTTTTGTTTACTTGTAAGATAATACATGTTCCACTGTTTAATTAATTACTTTAAAATTTGCCTGGAAAAACTTTCGGCTAGACATTGTAGAATATGCCACTCTCATATTAATGATATTCGATGAAATTTATTTTATAATAATTCTGACATGTGAACCCGTTAACATTGTTCCCTCATTATCTTTCAAAATGCTCAATTGAATCTAGATAACGCACCGTACAAAGGCGATCAGTGAGGAACTTCTTCTAGAGGAACACCGTATAGGCGATCAGTGAGTAACCTCTTCTAGGGGAACACCGTATAGGCGATCAGTGAGTAACCTCTTCTAGGGGAACACCGTATAGGCGATCAGTAAGGAACCTCTTCTAGAGGAGCACCGTATAGGCGATCAGTTAGGAACCTCTTCTAGGGGAACACCGTATAGGCGATCAGTGAGGAACCTCTTCTTCAGGAATGAACCTGTATAAACTCTAGCATGGGTCTGGGCTCTGACGTTCTGATGTTAAAACTCTAAGCCACTTTGAGCAGCAATCTATTTTTTTACCTCACCCGACATTGAACGATTTGACCCAACATTATTAGGTTATCAAAATCAATAAAAATATATCCGAGAAGAGTTAACAACAACGCTTGAATTAGAAAAAGATTGCGTTTCGTGGTCGATAGGCTTGCGTATGGTTCACGCCTTGTTCAGAATATTGTTGTCAGTATTCGCTCCAATCCTTTTGTACCTTTGTAAGCAGTTTTATTTCCAAATTCGAGCCTGAAATTCGTTGAAATTATTTCATATTATTACTTCCTTGTAGATTTGGGACGTAGTTTTACCTGTTGACTATTGATTGTATTTCTGCCCATTCAGCTTATTGACAATTGGACTATAACTATAATGCATAGGAACTATAATGTTCCTATGCATTGAATCGTCCTCTTCTTGTTAAATTTTGCATACTTTCACGCTCACTTTTCTTCTAAATTTGCTCATTGAAAAATCTGCGCCTTTGAAGACATGAACACAAGAGAAATCACCGATTATTGGAAACATTGCCATTGTTTAATTGGTCTTAGAAGGCCTGAAGAATTTGTATGCAGTGTCGGAAAATAAATTTACTCATTTTTCTAAACATTAATGCATTTATGTAATGACATCAAAAAATTGCGTAAATAATGCAGCCCAGCATAATATAATTGTCCAAATAATATACTGTTGTTCCCCAAATGCAAAAGGGTTCTTAGCATCGTTCGGGGTAAACCTTAACACAAGGATGAAAAATGACTTCATTTCGAAGCTAAATTTTGCCGACTTCTACACGTGAAGTTCGAGCAAATACGCTCGAGCGTGAAGTTCGAGCGTATTCTATTACGCGTTCTCTGAACTTGCTTGTTTGTTCGAGATTATTCCCCAGCTCGCAGTGAGAGAAATGTTTCAGAGTTACTTGCACTAGTTGGGCACCTACCGTCCTGAGCGGTTGCAGCTCCGCGTGTTAAAAGTGGTTCAAGTGAAGTTAATGCTGATTTATTACACTTGATTTAACTTCCTACGTAGACACCTAGAATTATAATAGACAGTCACAGTTATAGAACTATTGGTATAGCATAAACTCATTGAGATTTTTTATATTCTGATGAACGTTGATTTTCGTAGAGGGCGACTCAGCTGTTGTATGTCGGTCAGGGTACAGAAATAGATCGTCTTCGCTGCTGCTGCAGAAGCTACTCTCCCTTATACCTCACGGCGTCTAGCCGGCAAACGTCCGACAGACTGAACGTCTTCATGAGAATTCTATTAAATATTTTAGAGAAGCATAATTAATTGCAGTAATTTGTGTTCAGTGAGTGTTGAGTCGGGTGAATATCTTCAAAGTGTTCTATGATTCCGCAGTGGTCATAAAAATAGTGTGTTTGGGAGTTCCATTCTCTAACCGCTGAATGTCGTCAAGCCTAGACCTGCTCTCAAATTATGCAAGAGTGATATGCTATTTAAAATTATACTTCGATAACTGAATGGTGTAATTGATTTTAATAGGTCACAGGGTTCTATACATTTTAAATGATAGAAAATATTTTACGTTAAATTCTACCATTAAACATGGCTCGCTTTTGAATATGCTGAATTATGTAGCGTCAATTCTTCATAAAAAATGTACAAATCTGCTATTTTATTCAGTCTTACTTTGCGCGTAACCTTTTCTGCAGACATCGTCTGGAACAACGACCGTTCGATCAATACAATTCCCCGGCTCAATACCGAACATAGCTTAAGACACCAGCCGTATCTAAGATGCAATCAATCAAGCTGTCGAGGGTTGACGTGGATGTGATATTTTTCAAATTCTGACTCAATCTTCATAATTTGAGTTAATTTTAAATGTTTCCATTGTTTGCGAGGTTGAATAGTTGCAATATTTATAGTAATAATGACGTCGCTATTTACTGCTTCTTGAAATCATAACCATTACGAACCAGCCATAACCTTGAAGAATATTTTTTGTTATTTAGTTGCTAATATTTTTGCCAGTAGAGTGCTTATATCGAAACTTCAAAAATAATTTCGCATTCCACTACATATTTACGTATTATACGTATAACTAATTATAAGCTTCGCATGAACTAAACTGTTCGGCAGGTGTCTAATAACAACCGATAGCTCATAATTTTTCAACATTAATATCGTCTTGCATACAATAGCGTGCATCGCTTAACATGAGCCTGACCTTTGAGTACAATACCGCTGCTCGAATAGAAGTTTTGTAGAATGTTTTCGGCTGACCGTCCCAACACCTCAACTCTTACTTTCCTTCGAGCGGGGAGTGAAAGTTTAGCTATGGGTCGTTGTAGTATGGAGTCCAATGTGCTATATGTCGTATACAGTTAACCATTAGGCGTTGCGTAGGGGAATCTTTTCTTCCAGGTTGATCGTGTTAATCATTGTGTAACCACGAGTTTCTGCTTGTCATTGGATTACTGCGCACAAGAACATACAAATACTTCTTTGAAACTTCTTCCCTCCAGACGTAGGATAACATCTTCTGCACAGACGGTTCATATTCATCAAGGTGAGAGCGCTTGAGTATTTCGTTTTAATTTTTTTTAAATCCAAAATTGTTATAGGGAATAATCAGCCTGTTAGGAACTGAAGAATTTATTGTTAATTTCTATTTTATTGTTAGATTATAGCAGGACATCCCATTTATGCACATTGATGTCAATAACAATAAGGCAAAGTTCCAAATTCTGACTAGGATTGATGAGACTCCGTGTAACGACTGTTAAGTTTCCCCTGCATTGATATTGTGTTCTCCCATTATTAGTATCCAATATTTCCAAAGTTCCCCATTTTACAATACATGTCTGCCCCTCCCGAATATCTACTGATTTTTTTCTCCAACTCTATCATGTTCTTTTTCCTTGCCCGAAATTAAAAAAAATCAAGTCAGTAAGGAATGCAAATTTGAGAATGATCCAAATGCTCCCTTGATAGACCATTTATGATGTTATAGGGTGACCCTCGAGGTAGATTTACGTAGTTGCATTATCTTGCTCCCTAAATCCTATTTCTTCAGACACGGACATGGGGGAACTGCAACACATGCAGTAAGTATATACATAATATTATCCAGCGTGTTCCCTCAATTCATTACGAACTAAAATAAATTACAAAAATATAAAATTATATTCTTGACTTATTATTTGCTTCACTGAAAATATTTTCTACACAAAGATTTCAGAGATCATTGAATTAGCCGTCGGATTACGATCCAAAGTTATTTTATTCACTGTGATGGTTGTTGAGAATAGTTGTTTTTCGTGACCAAATGAACAATCCTGATTATTCCATGATTATTCTACATTAATTCCATGCAGCTTTACCCTCCGCAGTGAATGCCCATAACGACCATAAACATAATGTTATAAAAAAATATCTCCCCTTGCATTTTACCATACTTAAGATTATATTTTTATTATTAACGTATCGTTGCATCCACCCAATTTTTGTTCATTATACTGAGATAAAAGTTGATTATCTGACTATTTCAATTGCTCGCAACATATCACGATATCTTCCCTATAATTTGCCCGTTATTTGTATTTTTACAGTTTTGCCCAACCATGCATGTGGTATTTTCTCCTTTTATTGAAAGTGACCGACATGAATATTGATTTCTTGTGAATTGAAAACGTTAGGCTTCACCAAACCATTTGCGCTTATATTTCGTAAACTCGAATAAATCGGTCAAAGTCAAGTGTTTCGTGTGCACTCTGTATTTGTCGCGGTGTTGTGAAGCTCGTTACTGTACATTTATGGAATGACTTTGCTCTCTATTCTCTTCACATTTGTGTAGCAAAACTAATATAGGGTATTTTAATGATGAAGGCATCGCATATACTTTCGTCCGCATTTCATGGCGACTGATTATGTCTAATATGACTAGAGATAACATTGACTGAATAGTGGGGCTAAAATTTTATTTCAGTTTCTCTTTTGATTGATAACGAAACATGAATTTAGTCTCTGTTTGTTTCCGTAGCATCGATCCGGTGTGTTTGTAATAGCATTTTGGAACGAACTGGGATCTACAAAAGCCTTCTCTACGTAATGCTGAAACCACCAGCTCCACTGCCACTAAATTGAGTTGTTGAATTCGTAAGTTGCTGAATGTTCAAATTTGAAATTTGACTTCTATNGTCTCTAAATTGAGTTGTTGAATTTGTAAGTTGCTGAATGTTCAAATTTGAAATTTGCTTTCTATATCGTCCAAATATGATTACATTACTTAAATTATTGGTTATTTTTCTATCGAGTAGTGAGTGAGATGGATGTTTCTCTCTAGGTTGCATTAAAATTAATATCGCTTGCTACTCGGTTTTTCATTGATATCGCTTGCTACTCGGTTTTTCTTCGTAATCTTATTCAAGTGTTAGTTAATTAATAGTAGTCATATTTATTTCGAGAAAAACGTTGCGTGTGGCACTCGTAAATCACAGAATGTTTTATACGTCATAATGCGCATGGCGTTTTCAGGTAGCAAAGAATCAAAGATCTGCTTTCAGGTAGCAAAGAATCAAAGGTCTGCAATAAACATATTGGCCTCACGTCCAGTCTCGTGACCAATTTGTCAGTATTGCGCTATGCCGCCTGGACTTTATAGGGCCATTGAACTGATCGATGAATTGGCGACGAGCTATTTAGAGCTCCAGTGCAGAAGCAAGCGCGACGACGATTGATCTGTTTACAGATCGAGGGCGTTCGATCTGTTTGTGTTTACATGTTGTTAAAACATTTGTCCTAAAATTAGTCCTGGAGATGAAAAATGAACTGAATGTTGAATAGTGTTGTATATTATGACATATTATTCATACGAGCATACTTTATAGTTTGTCATGAGAACAAACATTAAATTTACATTTATTTGTTGGACATTTATGTTCATGAATGTTATTGTAAAATAATATCCGGCTTACAATCGCCTCACACGTGCATTTTAATCGTGTCAATACAACTGTAGAGATTTTGTTTAATTAAGAAGAAATTCACGACAATAGTTAGCGACTATAAGTTCGTGGAAATAAGTTTCCCTCTCCTAATTTTATGCTCCTCTCTGAAATCTCGTTCGAAAATCCCCACTGACGAAGCTGCCTGAGGAACAACGCTATATTGTTGCTTTCGAGATGTAAAATTCATAAAATTACATTAATTTTGCTATCTTTATAACCTGTTATCTTGATGTGAACTGTGGAGGCATTCATTAGACATGCGAATATCGACCCTGAGTTCAATCAAACATTTATGAGATGTTCCGTAAGAATTTTCCACATTGACGTACGATTTAATTTAATGCAATAGATCTAGTCCATGCTATTTGTTCAACGTGAAAACCTAATGACCTATATAATTAACCTTGTGCAATTTTACTTCTTGATCCTATTTTTAGATTTACAGAAAGTAGGATCAAGCTGTCGGAAGTTGCAGCTTGAATAAAAATGACGCTAATTACTATTACTAAGCTTACCCGATTTATTTGTATAATTAATTAATCCGCTAAATTTAGCCGCCCTCATGGATGCATCAACCGATGAACAGATTTTTACTATTTAAGGTGGTTACTTGTTAATTTTGCCCTCATTGAATGTGCATTCATTAACTTATTTCCCATTGAATGTGCATTCACTGGGGAGCACTTGCTCTTCAAAGAGTGGCCGCTACTCAATGGCGGTTGAGCGCACACTGTCTGCCGTTATTTATGAGCAGAACGCTAATTCTTTCTTAAACATATTGGAGGTCGCTTATGAGTGGCCGCCAAATCATTGGTGGTCGGCCGCGGACTCGCTTTGCCTGCGGCTTCCGTCCAGAGCTAGAGTCCAGCGGTCGTGTGTGATCCAGGAGCAGACATCCGGCAGGCTGTAGCGCGTCCAGCGGTTTGTGTTATAGGTCATACAGTCAGTTTATTTAACCAGGCACCTACAATTATTTTCAATTAATTAGGTCTTGATTACACTGAGAACTTTATACTTCACCTTTACAGGCCGATTTTTCACTACACTGCTGGTAACGTAGATTTATTGCAACTTTAAAACTGAAACGAGGTAGATGTTTTTTGTGTAAAATATAACGATAAATGACAGCTGACTCAGCTGCTGTCTGAACCCGTTTGCTAAATTTATATTTTACGTGTCAATGATTCAAAGTATTATAGCTTCATGTTCTTGCCAATTTTCAAATATTAATTCTTGCGTAGGAGAGCGCAGTCTCTCTGGACAAACTTATTCCACGCTGAGCCCTAAGCAATGTACTGCCATGTCTGTAATCTTATTATGGATTACAGCGGCTCCATGTTACTTTGCATACCTCTTGCTATGAGTTGAATATAACCGAGGTATATTTATTACAACGTGTTGTACAGGATCACATTACCCACATCTTGCTTGCTCACGTTACTTACCTCGCATTCAGGCGTTGAGCGTCAGGCTTTGTGAGTACATTTATATATACATTTACCTTCTCAGGTTCTTATTTGAGCCTGAACCTCTGCTGCACTACGGCGTCGCTATCAAAGCTATAATAGTGAAAATAACTAGAATAGTGAAGCTAAGACACAGCTTAGCATTACTATTCTATTTGGACTATAGCCTATTAACTTATACGTCGCCCTCAAGGCTATATAGCGAGTAACACACTTGTAGCTTTAACACTGAACCCCTGCTGCACTGCGGCGACGCTATCAAAGCTATAATAGTGAAAATAAATAGAATACTGAAGCTAAGACACAGCTTAGCTTTACTATTCTATTTGGATTAGTGCCTATTAACTTATTTTCCATTAGTTGAAATCATAGTCATCCATTAATTGCATTTGCAACTTTTATTTTATTTTTTTGTGAAAATTTTGTGAATTTTTTATTTTAGTTTTTGTGAAATTCGTCGCTTTATATCCATAACATACGTAAGTTGAGTCGAAAGTGCTAAAAATGTTTACATGCGGTTGAGATCAATCCACATTTTTTTAACTTTCATTGCAATTTCAATGCACAAATAATCGTTTCTTACACTGGGAATAGTCAGTTAATTTTATGCTGCCTGGCCAGTGTACTAGGTATTAATAGAGTGCTACTCATTACTACATTGGTCAAATGCAAAGAGAACGTCAAGAAAATTCACCATATCGACATTGAAAACGTTTCGGATATGGTGAATTTTCTTGGCGTTCTCTTTGCTTTTAAATTCCTTGTGAACTTGCGATATAAGCAGACTAATAATAAAAGTACATTGGTCAAATGCAAATTTTAATTGGAATTGATAGTTTTCGGATCATGCGTATGAACACAAATTTTTATTTTAGCTCAACTTTTGTTGTCAACTTCGGTGCTTTTTTTAATGCACCAGTTGTAGTACGTGCATGATCATGAAGTGACGAAGCACGCACTCGCGTAATTTACTGTGAGTGATTGACATGCTCGCTTATTTCTGATTTTTCATTGTCGTTGAAACCGGAAGTGGCTGAACATACATTTTTGTACACTATTGCTGTGCACAATGAAGCCTAAACAAAGGCTGCGGCGTAAACACATTTGCTGCAACCAACGCGATGCACTAGATGCAGCTTCGTAAACACAGAGCCTCGAGCCGCTGTAAACACATTCTGTTATCTGTTAGATCTCTTGTCCGACGTATGAGAGATGCAAGACGCATCTAATGGAATTCATCTCGAGGCTCAAACACCCATGTCCTCTCGTTGCACACTTCAATTACCTTACCTTATGACCTTATGATGAGTTCGGGACTTCCTAGTCCCCGGTCACGCTGATGCGCCGCCTTCGTCGTCCTCCGTCTCCGAGTCTTCGTCGGATGTAACGTCGGATGTAAATAGAGACACAAATTTCGATAAATCCTTTAACAATAAAATAATTGAAAATTCTGGAAAGAACTACATTTGAGAAATCTAATTTTTAGTCTTATTAGCCATTATACAAGTTCGAAGTCGGGTAATTCAATGTGTTTTTCTCATTAGCTTGCGAAGCACTGCTAATATTCTTATCTCCAAACCATAGTACCGGTATTCCATGATGAAAAGTATACATTACACTTCTGATTCTCTA